GTGCTGCCTACTGAAGTCATGTTAATACCTTTTTCTTAAACAGCATCTGGAGTCCCTTGGAAGAAATGCATGTTCCCAGACAGACTGCATGGGCTCTGAGCCCTTCCTGTAGACTACCGTGAGAATCATCATAGACTCCCTTTTCTAGGCTGAATGAAATTTGAAAGAAGGGAAAAAATACTTGACTTTACAACCCAAAGGTATGCCTTCATTACCATCTTCACACACTGCTTTCAAGGCTCGTTCCTTACGCTTGTTTTAAAGAAACATGGCTGCAGCCCCGTTTTTGTAGGCTGCTTTTGTTGAACATGACAGAATTAGCTCTTCTATAGTAACTGTTTATGAGACGTTTTTAATGGCTCCATATTTCCTTAAGAAATGTTTTTTTAGTACAACATCTACCTTGGGGCCTGATAGTTTTGTACAGGCTGTCTCCATGGCTAAAGGAACTGGTGAGCTTTTAAAAAGATAATTTTGTTGTGGAAATAACAGCCACTCACAGAAGTTCATAAAAAGCACATGTACAGCTTAATGATCTGCAAGGTAAGCACTTGTGAAAAGACACAGACCACAGCCACTGTGCTGCACCCTGTCCAAATGACACACTTCTTCCAGATGAAACCTTGCCCTGTCCTGTTGTCACCACTCTCTAGCCTCATAGGGTTTCAGACCTTTTGTTTTTCAGTATTGCAAGGCTGTCAGTGGAAATATCCCTGAACAGCAAGTTTCATGCTGGTGGGTTTGCAGGCTTCGCACGTGGTATCAGGTGCACATTCTTTTGTCTGCTCCTTCTACTCATGGCTGTTCTTTAAATTCCCTGATGTCTGTGCAGTATTCAGTGCCATGACTGCCACAGCATACGTAACCATTCTGTGGTGGATGTGCCTGGGAATTGCCTCCAGCCACATACACCTGTGCCCACAGTCTTGAGTGTGTTTCTGGTAGATATAAGCACTGATTACTGAGTGAATGTGGCTTTGACTAGGATTTCTAGGTCCACAGTATCTTTAGTTTTAGTTATCATTGCAAAAACAGTTCCAAAGCATTTCTTTGAACTTGTACCTCCATCAGCAGGAGGGGAGTGTTTCTTTTCACACCCTTGCCAATACCTGCTGTTGTCATATCCTCAACTGTTTGTCAGTTGTGAGTATGTAGAGGATCACAGGATGATTTTAATTTGCATTTCCCTTTTTACTAGTGAAATTGAGCCCCCCCCCTTTGTCTTTTTTTTTTTTGAAGCAGGGTCTCCCTGTAGCCCCAGCTGTCCTGGAACTCACTATGTAGACCAGGCTGGCCTTGAACTCAAAGAGATCCACCTGTCTCTGCCTCCCAAGTGCTGTGACTATAGGCGTGCGCCACCACGCCCGGCTCTTTCCTCTTTTTTACTTCCTCTTCCTTTCCTTCTGCCTGCCCTTCCTGCCTGCCTCTACTTTTGCCTCTGCTTCTAGTCTAAGGTTTACTAGTGTTGTTAGATGATGCCCCTTTTTACAAAACTCTGCTCTTCTGTCTGACCCCTACTGGTTCTTGTATCCAATATGAGCCTTTCATTCACTGTTGGTATAGTGAATGCCCTTGCCCTTTTTAAACAGTGTTGTGTTATGATCAGAAGTTGTGATTTTGGTAGCTAGGATTCAGTTTTCCCTCAGTGGCTAGGGTGCCCATGTTCCTGCTCAAGTTACGCTCTGCAATCTCTGAGTGGCAGAGTATTGGTTATCACAAAGGACCTGAGTCTGAGCCTTGGAATAGGCATTGGGGGTTGTCTTGGTGAACTCATAGCTCATAGATGAGCATCCTCTAGAGAAATAGCTCTAGCCTCTCCACAGAGCATTTAAAAGATGGTAACGTCTCAAGGTAGACACATCAGGACATACAGAAGAGAACCAGCTGTCTGTGTTAGTAGGGACGACATTTACCTCTGTCCTGTGCAACAAGGACACAGTAGACCAAGTGCCTTCTTTGTGCATTTCTGTACTAATCCACTCATGGTATTGAGTTAAGAGAGTTGGGATTTGGACAGTGTTCACTGTAGTAATAAAAAGTCAATGGAAAACTTCCTTATAGCTGTGATGTATTTGCAGACAAGAACTACTGCTCTTCAGATTTGATCACAGGTGGTAAGGGCAGACCTGGAAGATTTTCACTGTTTTTTTGTTGTTGTTGTTGTTTTGTTTTGTTTTGTTTTGTTTTGAATTTGAGACAGAGTCTCACTGTGCTGTTCTGGCTGGCCCGGAACTTGTTAGGTAAACCAAGCTGGCCTTGAACTCAAAGAGATTTGCCTGCCTCTACCTCCCAAGTCCTGGGATTAAAGGCGTGCACTATCCTTTCATTATATCTTTAATCAGCAGTATTATCTTTTTAAGAAACCTAAAATATATATATATCTTCATTTTCATTTTATGTGTATGAATGTTTGCCTACGTGTATATATGTATACCACATGTGTACCTGGTGACCATTGAGCCAGAAGAACTGGAGTTACAAGCCATTGTGAGTTGTCATGTGGGCACTGGGAACAGAACCTGGGTCCTCTGTAAGAACAGCCAGTGCTCTTAACCAGTGAGCTGTCTCTTTAGCCCTTATTAACCATCTCTTAATCCTCTGTGCCTTTATTCATTAGTTGTTTCTGGTGGTCATTTCCCCCTTAGATTTTCTTTGATTCATGATTTCTTTTCTCTAGTTCATAGCAAAATTGTGCTGTCTTGGAGGGAGAGCAGTTGTCAAAAGAGCCCCACCCCAGATGTGGGAATTGGGGGTGGTTCTCTCTTCAGGTGCCTAATGACCCCTTCCTTCCCCTGTGATTATTCAGTGACTATTTGTGCTTTCAGGGAACCTGGACCATACTAATCTAATGAAGATTGTGGAGGGAGGAGGAGACATTTAAGTATTTATGCTTCCCTACTAAAAGGCCTCTCCACTCTAGGTTAAACCCTTGTTGAAAAGTGTACCCCATGCTAACAGCCGTAATGGCCACTCCTTCCCTCTTCCTACAGGCCCCCATTTCCCTGTATCTTTTTTGTAGAGCTTGAGGTGGGAAAGGTGGGGCTTGGGGTCTTGCCCTACCTACCTCCTCAGCTATAAATCAGAAGTTCTCACTGATACCTGTTGTCAGAAATGGTTTCTTGGCACCCTGGAAACCACAGTAGGTAGTCATATCAAATAGTGGAATTGTTGGATCATGGGCTTCAACATTACCAGGTAATGTTAGGTGGTTTTCCCAAGTTTGGGTAAGTCCTTGACATCTCTATTACTTTTCTCATTGTTGTGACAAAATGGCAAACAAAAGCAACTTAAGGAAGGATGCGTTTATTTTGACTCACAGCTGGAAGGGTTACAAAGGCATAGCAGCAGGAGGCCATTGGGCACCTGGGTCTGCATCCTGGAAGAAGCAGAGAGACGGGTGCTCAGCTCACTTTCACTTTTCTGTTCAGTCCCAGATCCCAACCCATTGGGTAGTGCCACCCACATTCATTCAGTTAAACCTCTGGAAACTACCGTGCACCTAGCTGAATCCAAATCCAGCTAAGTTGACAATGAAGATAAAGCATCACACATGTCTTGAAGTCGTCTTACTGTCTTTTTTTCTCCATCTCTTGGATATAAAAATAGCTACTCCCTGCTTTAATGTGCACCTTGATGTGTTAATGAAGTTGAGCGCCTGTTTTATGTGTGTTAGGCATTGATGTCTTCATTTTCAGTCCATTTTTGATTCTCTTTCTCTTTTCTAGGTGTTCTTAGTATATCCTTGATATCTTTTAAATTTGCTTTATATTTATTGTGTATGTGTGGCATGATGTGCATGTGGATGGCAGAGGACAACATGTGAATCTAGGGAATCAATTCAGGTTCTCTGGCTTGGTGGCAAGCACTTTACCCACTGAGCCATCTTGCTAGTCTTTGATATCTGTTGTTGGTTAATAAAGAGGGTCTGCTTTCCTGGCTTCCTAGTTTGGTGCCGTCTCCCCCCCCTCCCCCGTAACCTCCCCCTCCCCCGCCCCCTGTAGGAGGTTGTAGCATTTTCTACACCTTCACCAGGACATCTCTTCCTACCAACAGGAAGAGGGAGGGAGAGCACACTTTTCCCTTCAAAGCCACACCTTCTCACATCCCATTAGCTAGAGCATAGCTCTCTGTGTACACCAAGCTGCAGAGGAGGCTGGGAAGTGTAGTCAGTATTCCAGTTTTTAATCCAACCAGAAATTTACAGGGGTGAATCAGGAGACCACGACTGAGTTAAATCTGGGAAGCATTTAGCCCCAAGAAGGGGCTAAAGAAAATGTGATTGTTTTTAAATTAATTGTCTCAGTGAACTTTTCTCTGATAAATGCTAATGTCTCTTATATAATTTAAAACTCACTTGATGAGTTCTTGGTAATAATAGTTTGGTAAACCTTTTGACTTCTTTTTTTAACTTTTGATTTTTTTTTAAATTTTATGTGTATGTGTATATTGCCTGCAGGTAGGTAAGTGCACCCATGTAGTGCAGTGCCCGCAGAGGACAGAAGAGGCTGTCAGGTCCCCTGGAACTGGAGTTAACAGACAGTTTTGTTAGCTGCCATGTGGGTGCTGGCATTCAAACCCAGGTTTTCTGCAAGAACAACCAGTGTTCGTAACTGCTGAACCATCTTTCCAGCCCCTTGACTTTTTTAAGTTCAGAAAAATACAATTATCAAAGAAAATATAAAAAAAGAGTAATAGGAAATGCAAAAACTTAAAATGAAATTTATAATGTATTTGGTTATTTAGCCAAGAAAAAAAAGTTATATTCGTGGCTTCATGGCTTTTACAAAATGTTGTGGAGGAGTTCCTTAGTACTTAGTACTGATACAGGCCTCTAACATTTGTTTTTATAAAGCTCATTTTCATTTTAAGGTAAAGTACACAAGGTCAGTGATAATGGTTTTAAGCTACTGTATGTAGAGGTAGGTGTGTGGAGCTTTGTGGCTTTTGAATATTTCCCTCCTCATGCAGTAGCTCATGGCTGTAACTTCTGCTTTCCTCAGGTATGGCGTGAGTCCTGAGAACATTATCCTCTATGGGCAGAGCATCGGAACGGTCCCCACTGTGGACCTGGCTTCGCGGTACGAGTGTGCAGCTGTCATCCTCCACTCCCCTCTGATGTCTGGTTTGCGTGTGGCTTTTCCAGATACCAGGAAAACATACTGCTTTGATGCTTTCCCCAGGTTAGTACATGATTGGACAAATGAGAAGTTAACCAATGCCACTCCTAAATACTGAGTACCCATGTTAGGCCCTATCTTTGCCACCACTGGGACATGGGACATGTCTCCAGAGTTGGCACACATTAGAAAGTCTCCAGGTGATGGCAAAGGGCCTTGAGTGTGCTCATCCCAAGAACTGACTGATTCAGAGGTAACATATATCATGTATTCTAAAGGAACATACAATTCAGTATGCATTCACTCAGAGGGACCTGTGTTGAATTGCAAAGAGCTACATAGGTAAGGTGTGAGGAAGCAGTTAGCAGTGAGCCAGATCCTGAAATGAAAACAAACACATCTGAAATTTCTCTTTTTCAGTCAGAGGATACAAGCAAGGGAAAAGTGATGTGCTCTGTTAATCTTGGTAAAGAAAATAAAGGGGTAGTGAGCTAATCTCGAGCCCTGGCTGGAGACATTGTGAGAAATTGTCATCTTGCTCTCATGCTTTTAGCAGACCTGTCCCTGCAGAGATGCTGTGCCTGGGAGAAGCATAAGACTCAGAGCCCCTGGCCAGCCTGAGGCTTCCTGCCAGCCAACCCTTGGCAGTTCTCTAGCTCCCACTGATGGAAGGGAGAATGTCCTCCACACATAGGTTCTATGAGCAGTGTGCTTTGTGTGTCTTGCAAGATTCTTTTGGGATGTTTGGATTTATTTTTCAGAAACTATAATATGGAAGTGCTTTGAATTGCAGTGCTTGTCCCTAGCCTTTTCCCGTAGTGCGTTGCCAAAGCAGCCTGGCGTTGTGGCAGCACTGCTGGCCGTTCTGTTTGGTACTTTCCAGGAAAATCAGCAGAAGTAACACACAGTCCTCAGGATTTTGGTTGACCTGCTGCCATTCTTTATTGCTGGGGAGAAAGTCCAGCATTTGGCTGTATTAGCATGTGTCCTACTGACTGTCTTGTTTCATGGGAAGAAACTTCTGTGAACACCTCGGGTGAACCTCAGTTCTGTGCAGCTCAAGCCAGGCTTCAGTGAAACCCAGCTTCCTGGGGGTGGGGTGCTGTGCATTTCTGGTGCTGTGGCGGAGAATGCTAAGTAGGGCTGATGAACCTCACTAATGTGGCCTTATTTAAGCTGACTTCTGGTAATAAGAGGCAGTTTGTTTAAAGACAGATATTTTTCATGTTTGTGGAAAGCAAGGCCGAGTTACCCTGGCAACAAAATGATGGCAAGTCCCCCTTCCTTAAATTAGCCTATACCCTAAAATGTAGCCAATTGTAACTAATTGCATCCTATTATTAGTAACAAACTAGCAACAAATGCTATTTGTCGGATTCACCAGACATTTCTGGCTTACCCTCCTGTTAGCCTTCCCAACAATTTTCAGTTGATTCACTTACTGAACTCTTTACAGATGAGGCTGTAAAAAGGGAGGTGACATCATTGGCTTAGTGAGGATGGAGACAAAGGAGACCACTCCTACCCAGCATCCTAAATTATTGATGTGATAGATTTCCAGACATTAATTGTTACTTCAATTTGCATCATTAATTGGCTTTGGCAAACTTTTTTTATAGTGTCCATTGCTACCAAATGGCAGAATCATGTGTCTGTTCTCTTGCATCTCTCTCTCTCTGTTCATGAAGATGCGTTCATGTTTCCTTTTGTTTTACAAAGATAAAGAGAAGGAGCCCTGCTCCTGATCTGTGTTACTCTCTTTACCTTTGCATTTAGGGTCAGACTTCCAACTTCAAGTGCTCTCTCCAGACAGGAAGAGATTCCCGTAAACTGTAGCTTGGGGTGTAGTCTCAGTGCTGTTGAACCATTGAATAACTGCCGTTTTAATTGAGATAAATGAAGTCTTATAAAGGAAGGCACTTGAAAATTAAATCCAGGGGAGAAGTAGGTTTCCCAGTCAGATACCTGGTCTGCAGAACTGAACCTGGCAGTGAAGGCTCTGTCTGCTCTTTGCAGATCCGTGGCTGCGGGGTTTGTGTCTTCAAGTAGCTGGCAGCTTCATGGGTTGTTCGTAAAGGCTGTGTGCCAGTTGCTGCAGACCTTTGGAATGTGTGACTGATGTTAGCAGTTTTTATTGTCTCCCTGGCCTCATGGCTGTTACTTCATAATCCGTCTGAGCTTCAGTTCCCTCCCTGATCAAACAGAGTTGGCCATTCCTTGTGGGTCTTTTTCACAAGAATTAAAGGAAATTTTATGTGGGCAGTAAAAAGCTCAGCTATGAAGAATGCTAACTTATTTTCTCAAAAAGACTCCCACAAATAGCACCCATTTGTGTCCTGTTACCAGCCTGAGTAGGATCAACTGTGAAGAGGAGTCGGCAGTAAGAGGGCCTTGGGCAAATGGACAGATGTGCTTCTGGTTTGTTCATGGGTTAAATGACTAGCACCCCACTGGAGCAGGCCCAGCTGACAAACGCTAGCGGCCCTTTCAGTTCTTCCCCAGGATGCATTTTCAGAGCCTGAAGCACAATCTTTGAAGATCCTCAAACATTCATCCTGCCAGAGGAGGTTCGGTTTTTATGAAGAATTAAAGTCAATTGGAATCAAATCTAAGCATCACATTAAGTTTCAAGCCAGGTAGTACTGTTTTCATCAAAAAGTTAGACCTCTGCTTTTATGAGATGGGGCTTATGCCTTTAAAAAGAGTTCTGAGTATTGGAGGGTCACCAAGTCTCACTTGCCAGAGATGTTTATTCAGATACGTCAAGTGCTAGCCTGTTTGTGCTTTAAAGTCGTCCCCAAACATGAATATATTGAAAATATTAGTTACTGGTGTATTAGTCTGATGCTTTTAGGATTTCTGTTTTTAATAAAAGTACTGATTTTTTAAAAATCCAGCATTTAAATGTGGTGTGGAGTTCTTGATTGGACACTGGAATAGAAAAGAGACATTTGTTGAAAAACAAGTGAAATCCATATAAAGACTGGAGGTTTTAGCTAATAGTAGCAGATCAGAATTAGATTTTTGGTTTGGACAAATAGACCATAGCAGTGCCTGCTGTTGGTCTTATAGGAAATGGATTAGGAATACGTGGAATGTCTTCATACCTTTGCTATGATTTTTAAATGATTCCAAATAAAAAGTATATATAAAGGGAAAAAAGGAATTACTAGGGGAAAAATGGGGTGAAAGAAGCAAAACTATTACAGTCTCTTAGTGTGAACTTATCACCTGAAACCGGGACACCACTGGTGGGGCTGGGCCATGGGCACATGGGGAAGTTCTGTAAACCAACTAAAGTCCTTAAGTGTGGGTGGATGGTCTTGTCAGGCTCAGTGTGTTACCTATGAGTGGCATTAAGGAGTCCTTATCTCCCCTCCTGTTTCTGTCTTGCAGCATTGACAAGATATCAAAAGTTACCTCTCCTGTGTTGGTCATTCACGGTACAGAGGACGAGGTCATCGACTTCTCCCACGGCCTGGCCATGTATGAGCGCTGTCCCCGTGCTGTGGAGCCCCTGTGGGTTGAGGGAGCCGGGCACAATGACATAGAGCTCTATGCACAGTACCTAGAAAGACTAAAACAGTTCATATCTCACGAGCTTCCCAACTCTTGAAGAAGGTGGTTTGATCTTACCTCATCTACTGTGAACGGAGGAGATCTTGTTTGCACATGCTTTAACTGGATTTAACTGTAACTCCCGATAACCACTGAGAAGGGCCCAACCCTTCTGGTTTACTCCTTAAAGAGCTAACAAAATCTGTCTTTTGTACCTAATTCCCACCCTCCTGTTAGACTGAGCAGCTGGATTCCCACCTGCATGGTCTTGCAGGAGTGGAAGGAGACCTGACTGTGGGACTCACGTATGCTCACATCTGTCTCGCCCTCGCTGTCACCTCTGATTCACGCAGCAGTGCAGGATCAGCCTCTCACCCATGTGCTTAGTGTTTGACCTGCAGCAGCTCAGCCGCTGGCATCATGGGTGAAGTCCATTTGTGAAGCTATGGTAGTGTAACTGGAAAACTGTTGTGAAAATTCATTGATTTTTGTTAACATGCCAATCTTTCCCCACACAAACGAGTTGAAGAGTAATTTACTGGAACTATCAGCAAACAGCTTCATCAACTTAACCATATCAGAATAACTGGAATATTCTTAAACAACAGGACACTGGGGTTTTTTAAGTGTAAATTTATTACTAGCCAACAGAGTTTTAATATTTTAATTGTCTGGTTGGTCTAATGAAACCTGGCCGACATCCCTTCTGTAAAGTCCTCGTCGGCTTTTTTAAAGTCCTGTACATATTTGCAATGATATTGTGCACAGATTCTTAATGGGTAGTTTTCTCTCATCAGGCTACAACAACAGACTGCAAATTTCTTGTTTGTATTGTAAATGATTGAATACATTTTGTTAATATGTTTTTATTCCTATGTTTTGCTATTAAAAATTTTATAACATTTCCAAGACAAAAATTCCAAGTTTATGCTTTGAAGAATTTAGGTAATTAAAATTTCCCTAAACTAATCTTTTAGTTTAGGAGTTGTTTGGGTTTTGACACTGGAGTTGCACCAGATAAGCATCAAAAATGTTAAGATGCTCTAAGTTGCTACACTACTTGTATTGGTTGGGGAATTGGGTTTGGGGTTCTTTGATCTTATTTCAGTTGTTTTTTGTTTGTTTGTTTGTTTTTTCCAAATTTAAAGGCCTTAAATGTACTGTAAGCCTCAGATTGTTGTACAGCTGAATTGCGTTGGTTGCCAGTTTGTGTGCTGTTGCCTGGATGCGGCACGGTGGTTGGTAATGGAATAAAGGACGCATGGATCAGAACGCACGGGTTTACACTTGTCTTCTTCACCTCGCCATCAAAGAAAACAGAGCACAGTGCATTCGTCTCAGTTTAAGAAGGAATTCTTGGGGCTTATGGGCATCACTTTTGTTAAATGCCTTAGATAACTTCTGCAAAAACCCAAAACATAAAACGGCAGTAAAATACAGGTGGTCTCTAGGTAGAATACAGTAGGTTCTAGCTACAGAACAATGCTGGAAGTGGAGCTAGGAGGAGACAGCCTCTTTCTCTGAGAAGGGTGAGTCAGTGGGGTTCCATGGAGTCTTTTCAGCTCTTTAATCACCTGACCATAAAAATCCAGCTTTGAGATGCTAGCTTTCAGCTCTTAGAACAGCCTTTCCCTAGCCTGCTTTAAGGACATGATGGTAGGCCAGGAACTTGCTTTAATCCCAGCACTTGGCAGGGAAGATGATGATGTGGGTGTGTATAGGTATGGGCAGACATGTGGGCTGCTTCCTGATCTGAGGCCAGTGCTGGCCATGGAGAGCCTTGGGAAATGGGGTTAAAGAGGCTGTTCCTCCAAGAGGACATCGACAGAGCTCAGGAGTGCACTTGTCCCAGAAGTCCAGAATACGGACTCAGGAGACACATTCCAGCGACCTTCCTTCCAAGCTGGAGAGGAGCCTACCTAAGATTCTAATGACCTGATTTTTTTTTTTTTTAATCCTACTTGTTGGGAGTGCTTGCCTCTTTGAAACTATTTCCTTTCTTTTTTCCTCCTCCTAAACAGTTTAGTAAACTTATTGTTTCTGGGGCTAGAGAGATGGTTCAGCCATTAAGAGCACTGGCTCCTCTTGCAGAGGACCCAGGTTCAATTCCCAGCACTCACATCTTGGCTAACAACTATCCATAATCCAGTTGGAGAGGATCTGGTGACTCTTCTGACCTCTTCAGGCTTTGAGTGCACGTGGTGCACTTACATGCAAGCAAAACACTCATATACATAAAAATAAATAACTTACTGTGAGCTAAATTTCAGCAGTGTAAATAGGAAATCATATGATGGACAGAGACAGAAACTTAGATGGCAAAGCATATTCCCTGCATTGATGGTTCATATGACAGGAGCAGCATCCCTTCAAGGATAGCTTGTGAGGTAATAGAATTCCAGGAGACCTTGGGCCCCCGAGACTTGTCTGCGAAGATTGTAAGCTCCCTCCTGAGCTGTGCTCCATCCACAAGTTGGTGGATGCCCACCAGGTTTCCACTAGATACAGAAGCTTCTCTCTAGACTTAGTGTCTCTCTCTAGCCAAAACTAGAAATCAAGAGGCTGCCAAAATCCCTTCACAGAATGGAGAATGAGCATTTGTTATTTCTAATACACTAATTCATGCTTTACACTTATGAAAATCCTTTTTAAGTATTACCACAGAGTAAGATACAATGACCATGTACTCTTCCATTCTGCTGGTTATAATCCCGAAATCCAGTAGCCAGAGATAACAAATTTGAATGGATGGGTTTTTATCAAAAAACACTCAAATCCTAAAGTAAATCATGATTCTGTTATAATCTTTGTAAACTGGAGGATACAATGGTTGCTGTCTCAAAATAGAAAATATCTTCTGTCAATAAAAACATTTAAGACAATTTAGGTTGCAAGAACCTTTTGAGTCTGGAAAGGGCAGATGAATTGTCATGACACTTCTCTGGGACACATGACACTCTGGGGGACAGTGAATTCTGAAGTCTATAAAGTATTACAAAGATACGTTTGTGCACACACATGGCTTACACAGACCAAAGTAGAACTCATGTAGAAGTTGTGTAGAATAAAACAGACGATTCAGTGCTCTATCTGGGCAACACGGGGTGATCAAATGATCTGATACTTGGTTACACATATATAATAGATGTTAATAAGGCAAACATCTCACTGGGCTTTTTTTTTTTTTTTTTGGTCTTTTTGAAGCAGGGTCTCCCTGTAAGCCCCAGCTGTCCTGGAACTCACTATGTAGACCAGGCTGGCCTTGAACTCCGCCTGCTTCTGCCTCCCAAGTGCTGGGACTACAGGCGTGCGCCACCACACCTGGCTACACTGGGCTTTGTTTTTTGTTTTTTTTTTTAAAGCAGTGTTTTATTTTCCAGTCCTGGGGATCTACCACAGGGTCTTGAGCAGGCTAGGCAAGCACTCTACCACTGACCTACATCTCCAGCTCAGCAGTAATGAACTTTGAGGTTCACTTCTGACTTGAAAATCTTAGTAAACTAGACATGGAAAGATGATTTCTCTGTTTTTCAAGATTTTTTTAAGTTTATGTGTATGTATAAGTGCTTTTCCTGTATGTATGTATATAAGTGCACTGTGTACATGCTTGGTGCCTGTGGAGGTCAGAAGATGGTGTCGAATGCCCTGGAACTGGAGCTCAGAAAGTTGTTAGTTGCCATGTGGTACTGGGAACCAAACCTGGTTCCTCTAGAAGAACAGTCCATGCTGAGACTTGTCCACACTGACTGTAAATTCCCTCTTAAGCACTGGGCCATCTCTCCACTTCCATGATTTCTTCTTTTGACAGAGTCTCACTCTAGCCCAGGCTGGCCCCAGTCCTGGAATCAGTCCTTCTTCCTCAACCTCCTGAGTTTTAGCTGGGATCCACAGGTGTACGCCACTATAGCTGGCTAAGATTTTTTTTTAATTGGATGAAATAAACCAAAAACTTGGGTCAATGGTTAACATATTTTGGTTGTGATTAGTTGTTTTCTCTACAGACAAGAAGTAAAGTTACCACCAATGTTAAATATAATGCCAGAAAGTATAACCATGTGTTAAGCCAGGGAAGGAGGGGAGAGAGGGAGATTTCGACATGCCCAGGAAAGTCAATTGAACACCGATTTAAGATTCATAAGGACAATAAATAAAAATGTACGAAAATAGCTATTACCGCTGAATTAGTAACAACTAGTTAGAAACTATAGGCCGAAGACCCTATTCATAGCATAAAAAAGAACGATGAGCCAAGAAAGTCTCAGGATTCTGTTTTCTGCCCTTTGATGGGCTTGGGATGTGGATCACCCTCCCAAGGTAAACAACACTGAGTAAAATGGGGAAATGTTGGACAGATGTATGACCAGACAAGAAAGCAAGCGTACAGGCCAAAGGCAATGTTAAGATGAGAATCCCTAGGTAGAGGAATATGGACAGCCTGTCTGAGGGAATGTGGGCCTGAGCAGCCTGTGGAGCTTGGGACAGCATGGTGCCTCGTGGCCCTCCATGGCAAGGGACTCCAACCAGAAGTGATTATTTTTTAGAAGACACCCAGATGACATTTCAGTAGACAAAGAAACATTGGATAGAATCCAGAGCTCCACTCGGGGTTTAAAAGATGAACTCATCTAACTAGCAGTAGATGGTGGCTTCCATATTGTGTAGACAGATTGCCTGAATTAAAGCAAATTAAAAATAAACAGTATTCCAAGAGGTCAAGCACTAGATGTATTCTTTCATTTTGGATTAGAAACTGCCAGTACCCACTCCCCTTAGTGTTGAAAATTTATACAACTTGTATAGTCGGAGGAAACAGTGCAAAGGTTTAGAAGAGAAGAGGCTGTGACCATGTGGTGGCCTCACAATTCACTGAACCTAGTAAATGTCAGTTGTGTGTACATTTTAAATGGGTATATGACAGAAATGATACCTTGAAGAATTATAAAACTATGGAAAATACACGATTTATTCTCCAGTTTTGTCTATGTAGAAAACCTGAAAATGCAAATTAGTAGATTGAACAAAAGTTTCGTTTGTGAGATACAAAATCAATGTACACAAACCACACATTTCTATAAATCAATAAAAACAGTCATAAAAGTACCATTGCAATAGCATTTTTGTGAGTGTGTGCATGTATGTGGTAGGTACACATGTAGGAGTGTGTGCACTCACGTGTGTACATGGATGTGGAGGTGGGGGGCTAGCCTCAGGTGTCATCCACAGGAATACTATACACCTCTAAAATGAGGCCTCTCATTGACCTGGAGCTCAAAGCTAGACTGGCCTTGGCGCCCCAGGGATTCTCCTGCTTCCACCTCTCCAGCACCGAGATCATCAGGCCTCTCATTTTTACACAGATTCTGGGAATCAAACTCAGGTCTTCATGCTTGCAAGGCAAACACTTTAGTGACAGTTATCCCCATAGCCTCTATAATAGCATTTTTAAAGGCAGTTATTCTTCTAGAATGTGCCTAGAATCTGAGATTTGCTCAGAATCTGTCCAGCTAGATGGTACCATGTCAGAGGGCCAGATTAGCACCTCCAGAAGGATGCCTGGTCTGATCCTGCTCTTCCTTCTTAGCCAGTGGCCTTGACCTCTGCTGGGGCCTCAGAATCCTCATGTGAAGTGAAGGGCCTATCCCACCAGCTGTTCTCTCTCTCTCTTTCTCTCTCTCTCTCTCTCTCTCTCTCTCTCTCTCTCTCTGTGTGTGTTAAAATACATGCATGGTGGTGGGTCATCTGACCTCTTGATCAAGGAAGCCAAGGAGACCCCACCAGATGGACTTGAACCAGTGTCCAG